TGCTTGGTAAAGTGGAGAGTCAACAAAAAAGGGGAAGGCTCTCAATGAGATGGGCTGACACAGTGGCCGCAATGATGGGTTCAGCCATAGCAAGCATTGTGAGGCTGGTGCAAGACAGGGCAGTGTTTCATTCTGTTGTACACAGGATCACTGTGAGTTGGAGTTGACCAGACGGCACCTAACAACAACTTTGGGTATTAATTCTTAATCCCTGGTTGTCTTAGTTTCTAAAGCACAAAATGAGTTGTTTTGAGGCCAAAATGTTGATATGTGAGTTATATGAATTGCTTAGAACACAGGAGGCAGTGAACACGTGCATGGTAGCTGTTAATAAGATACAGTTTTTTCCCTCAAGAGGCGTACATCTGCCACCATAAGAATTTCATTCAGTCTGTCATTCATTTACTCATTCATTAGGATATGTTTATTGACACTCATTATGTGTCAATCCCTGGGCTAAGAACTGGGGCCAGAGTAGAGAACAAAACAGACAAGTGTCTTCTTTGATGGAGTTGAATTTTTAGCAGAAGGGGGAAAAAGCAATAAGATGTATAAGCAAAAAATATAGAACAAGAATATGTTGGGTGATGATAAGTGCTCTAATGTAAAATAAGGGAGATAGAACATGTTAAGGGCACAACATTCAGGTAAGGTGACAGGGAAGATGTCTCTGATAAGGAAACAAAGAAAAGTCTGAAAGAAGGGACAGTGAGTGATCTAAATACCTGTCCAAAGACCATTCCAGACAAAGGGAGTAGCTAGTGCAGGAACAGGCGTGGTGTGATGCAAGAAGAGCCTCACTAGGAACATACTCAAGTCATGAGGCACCTGGACAGCTGAGGCTCAAAGCTCTCTGAGGATCATCCTCCTCCCTAAGGCTCCCAGTGTCCACAGACAGAACTCCTCTGGAGAAACACGGGTCCTCTCATCAGGCAACTGGCACAGTGCTCAGAGAATTAACTATGTAGCTATGGGAGATAAGTGGACAGGCCTCAAAGAGCTACTGACAACATAGTTGACGTAAGTTTCTGCGTGGAAAGGCATAACAAGGTATAAGACTCAGCAGGACAATCCTTGAGCATGAGTGCCACAGAGATTCCAGAGAAAGTAGACACACCAGGAGGTGAAGCTGGATTGCTTTTCTGCTGGTGGAGGCCTGAATGGAGGCACACCACCCCAGCGCAGGGCTGGTTATCCTGGGCACCCAGAAAACGTGAAGAAAAATGGCACATGGCCATGCAAACTGAATTGTGTCATGTATAATTTGAGGAGGTGGGTGGTTGCCCTAATGCCCACCATAGATTCCAGGGACCACCAGTTATGAACCTCTGCTTTAGCTAAAGAGACCTCATCTTGACCTCCAACTCTAGCTTCAACCTGGATGGGTCAGTTGAAGTTTCTGACCAGACAGGAATTCACACTTGCTGAAGATTTGGGAACAGCAACCCTAAGTCCTACCTTTAACCTCCAGCTTCTTGGAGGTTTTGATAAAGAAATATAGTGAGTAATTTTGGATTCTTCCTTCTCTTTTTGAGAAAACAATGTCCTCAACCAGAACTAGCAAATGTATAGCACTTCCACCTCCCTTCACCTTAAAGGCCTTGATCACCCTCCACGGTACTACTGGTTGTGGTCCTATAAACATTCTCAACACAGCACTGCAGAGTCCCGCCCAATGGTGCACAGGTCCAAATGCATATGCTGCTCCAGGCCCTTTCTCCTTCATATGCAAACATGGTGCTAATGACCCACTGGCAGGGGAATACATGGTTTTGTTGCAGAAGAACAGTAGAATAATGAATTACATACTGTTTTTTGCATATTCCCTCACCCCATGAGAGCAGCTGGCAGGTGGCTAGCTGAAGTTAGGGGTACAGACTGTGCTCAGAAAATGTATTGTCTGTTTGAAGCTAAAGGGACTTATTTAATGCCTTGGTCTCAGGGTCAAAGCATGTAGCCCTATTAGCCACATTTCTACTTAGCAAAAGTCACAAATCTCAAAGACAAAGCATGTGTGTGTGTGTGTGTGTGTGTGTGTGTGTAGGGTTACATGAAGGAGAAGAGTTTGAAGGGAAGAGATGATAAAGAAGGCAGATGAGATCTGAAGTCTTACAAGATCTGAGAAATCATTCTGGTCCAAAAACAAATAAACCCTGCAACAATATCAAAGTTGAATTGACAAGTATGCCAGTAAAGTTCTTTTATCATTTGCCTTAATTGGACCTAGTCCATATTTCTATTTAACTGCTGCTCTCATTTTCTTGGGTCATAATTATAAGGCTAAATTCCCAAATAAAATAAAATTGTTCCTCTGTTCTATGCAGATTGGCTACAAAGCAGGTTAAGGCAAGTATCATCAAATGCCTGGTCCTAGTCAACTAGCTCCAGAGGTCCAGTATATTGAGCTGAGTTTTGAAGCCTGTTCTTATCCCAACTCTTGCACTAATTCTCCATGGACAAATCACGTGAGAGGGAATGAGGGGAAGTAGAGTGTGGATGAACCGCTGCAGACCTTGGTTTCTTTGTTTATAAAACAAATAAATATATTTGACTGGTTAATAAAAAGGGTGTGTGAGTGTATGTGAGAAGGAGTGTGGTAGAGGAGGAGTGGCTTCGCCATTTTAGAATATAAACCAGTACAGGTCTACCTCATTTTATTGGGCTTCATTTCATTGTGCTTTGCAGATAGTGTGTTTTTTTTTTTTATAAATTGAAGGTTTATGGCAACCCTGTGTCAAGCCAGTCTCTTGGCACTATTTTTCCAATAGCCAGTGCTTCGTGTCTGTGTGTCACATTTTGATAATTCTCACACTATTTCACACTTTTGATAATTCTCACACTATTTCACACTTTTTCATAATGTTGTTGCATACTTAATAGACTACAGTATAGTGTAAACATAACTTTTACATACACTGGGAAGAAAAAAATTTATTGGGGTGGGTTGGAACCGAGCCCTCAATATCTCTGAGGTATTCCTGTATAGTTTCAATGTGCTCAAAAGTTGAGTCTCTAACCTTAACCTAGGCACCTTTCTGCCACTGGTCAGAGGGCTCTTGGAAAGAACAAGGTGGAAGGTTTAAACAAATCTATCATTGCAGTGAGTAAGAAATCAAAAAAAAACCTTCCTTTTAATGACCCAGTAATACCTTCTGTCATCCAACACAATGGGAGCCTTTGCTTTACCTACACTCCTTGGAACCACAGCCTCTTGGTCTACCATATGGGGTAATAAAGCCTACAAATGAGAAACCACTCATTTCTTATGGACAAAAAGTATTAAGTGTTAAAATTACTTACAAACACATGTCACTGTCTGTGTTCCTAGCTCTTAGAAACTTTAAGATTCAGTCTCTGCGCTGCCCTGTTTTGTTCTGTATCTCTCAGAGGTGGACTCCTGCAAATCACATTTTCTGGGGTGCTGTGCCCTCTGGTTTCGGGTTACACGGGGCCAATGGGAAGCACGGGCAGGAGAGTGGAAGGCAGGAAGCCAGGCCACGTCTCCTCCTCTCTCGGCACTGAGAGATGCCTCTGACAGTGACTCCTCCCATCTGAAAGCTGCTCCCACTGTAGTCCCAGCTCCTCCGGGGGCAGCCTCACCGTGCTCTAAACTCCGTCCAAGTGGTTCCTACTACAGCCCCTCCTCCTTTTGTCCCTTCAGTCCTGCAGATGATAACCACAGGTTCCTGCCATTTCTCGTCTCTGGATTGCCTCACTGTGCCTTTAGCCCTTCTAATCTTTGCAATGAATTCCTTCCATCGAGCTACTTGGCATGGGCTCTGTTTCCCTGACTAGACCCTAAGTGCTGACCATACAGGTGACTACCAACGTCTAGAGAACAGACATCATGGTTAAGAGAATACAGACTGCAGACAATGTGCTTGGCAGGTCCATCCCTTCTCTATTGGCAGAAAAATTTGGTCTCCCAAATGCTTTTGGTCACCTGGCCACCTAGTACTATGTGTACCAGGCATGTGTTGGAGGAGAAGAAGCATTGGATGGAGAACTAGTGACTAAAGTTTACTATCTATTCATGTGACCTTCACCATGTCCCTTAGAGTGGCATGTGCCTGCCTGAGTTTACTCATGTCACAGGGTTAACAGTTCTTCTCACTTGCCTGCCTACCTACGAGGCTCAAACATAAGAGAGCATGGAAACATGTTCTAAAAACACAAAGGATCCTTGTAGATTGTGGTAGTTAATGTTATGTGTCAACTTGGTTGGGCCTGGTTTATAGTTATTCCCCATGATGAGATTGATAATCAGCTCCATGGTAGAATCTGCTACAAGCAGATGAGTAGCTGCTTTAGGGATGTGGTCTACTCCCAGTATAGAAGGAGAAGCTTTAGGAATGGGCTGCAGCTTTTTGGCACCTTGGAGCCTGTGTGTAGCTGAGTTGTCATCTAGCAGCCTGTCATGCTGTCTTTCAATCTTGGGACTCTGATGGACTGGAATCAGTGGCCTGGCATGTGGTTTGGTAACATTGGGACTGTGCCTTTCTACTTGCCAACTTTGGGTTTGTCAGCCTCAGCAGCCAGCAGCTGCCTGAGTGAAGAAAGCCTTCAGCTTCAGCAGGCCAGGAGCAAGAGGCTGAGCTGAAGCCCAAGGTCAAGGGGTTTTCACCCAGCCCCAGAGCCTGGCGCTTTGAGCTCACACTTCTAGCCTCTTAAACTGTAAGAAAATAAATTCCTGTTTGCTCAAGCTATCCATCTGTTGTATTTTTCTGAAAGTGGCACCAGGTAACAAAAACATGTATCTAAATATGTATCCATTACTATGTGACACAAAGTTGAGTTCCATGGAAAAGAATATGCTTTTCTCTTGGCTTAGCCCAATTTTGATTTTCAACCTGGTTTGAACTAAATATGTTTACATGAAAAGTGCACAGACTAGCCTGGCACATCCCAAGAGTGATGTGGATGCTCACTGTGACTCCTGGGCTGGACCCCTTTGGCTTCACGACAACATTTCACTTCGTCAAAGACTGTAGCCCACTTACCAATGTCGAGGACCCTCTGCTTCGCTGTGTGCTGCCGGGAGTGCCAGTACTTCCAGTATTTCAGCTGTTCGTCTCGGTTTTTGTCTTCACTGAAGACCACCATCACCACACTCTGCAGAGGGGAAAGTAAATTATAGACTCACTTTCTGTTCAGCCCCGGTTGTCTCCAACAGTCTCCCGTTCTGGAAGCTCTGCTTGAGGTGTGCTTCTGTAGTGCTGCTTTTTACTCCATTGTAGGGTTTGTTTGGTCTTAAAATGGGCCCACTTAAAAACTGATTTGGAATTAAGTATATCATAGAGAAAGGAGTTCTGGTAGCATAGTGCCTAAGGCACTTGACTGCTAACCAGAAGGCTGGCGGTTCAAACCCACCAGCCACTCCTCGGAAGGAAGATGGGGCAATCTACTTCCGTAGTGATACAGCCTCAGAAACCCAAGGAGGGGTCGCTATGAGTCGGGGCCGACTCGATGGCACATAACAACAGCAACATATCATAGAGAAAAAGAGGATTCTCTATCATTTTTACCACTGAAGTCATAAACAACAGGATTGACCAGTTAAATTACCAGCAAATTAGTTATTTTGCAAGGTGAGCAGAAAATTAAAAAAAAAAGAAAAAAAGAAAAAATTTTTTCCCCTCGTATCAGAAACAAGCACATTTTTTTGAAATTTCATATCTTTAAACAGAACTCGGCACCATTTGTAAGGAAGCGAACATCCGTGTCTGGTCTAATGAAGGGCCTCAGGCTGGAATAGTGGAAGGAAAGAGGGAAATACTAAAAGACGAATATAGCTCTAAACCACAGATATCTCACATACCAAAAAATACAAGGTCAGCTACGGTTTATTTAAATATAATGTGGGTATACTTTAAACATTAACCTGAGATGCTAATTATATCTTGTAGAAATAAGAATCCAATTTGAATAATACTAGTATGTGAAATGTTACAGAGAAGCTCTTAGGGATTAATCAAACCAAACCAAACCTCACCGCTGTGGAGTCTAATAGACTCATAGCAACCCCTCCTTGGGTTTCCGAGGTGGGATCTCTATGGAAGTAGATTGCCCAACCTTCCTTCGGAGAAGTAGCTGGTGGGTTTGAACCACCAGCCTTCTCGTTAGCAGTCATGTGCCTTAGGCACTATGTCACCTGAGCTCTCCTTAAGGATTAAGAACAGCAAAATATTCTTCTGGAATAGTAGGAAGGTAAGTGACTAGGCAGTGTCTTGGATATGGAGTGAAAATGACAGAGTTGTACTCAAACTACTTTGCAGTTATACACCTTCTTATTATTCAAGAATATTTTGTTGACTCTCAATCCTTAGGAACTTCTGTTCTGTAGCGTTTCACACTTAATTAGTTACAATGTCTTCCCATCTGACTTCAAACTCATTGAGGACAGGGATAACGTGTTTGTTCGCCAAGGTGTCCCTGGTGTTAACAAATAATAGACAACGTATGCATCCTTGTTGTAGACTGTGAATTCAATGGCTAGCTCAGTCCATGTGTCACTCTTAATGCGAGCTAACATCCATTACATAAGAAAGCTGATGTTTGTCAGAAAACCTAGTTTAGAAGCATGCATCTGTGTTATTCAAATGAGCAAGCAGCCATGACCTTTAACTACAAGCAAGGAAAACCATTGACTGTGCTGTTGAAATTACGAGCTCAGCCATCTCTTCACTCTCCCCTGACTTCTAACTTTTCTGTTTAAAAGTTTATGGTTAACATAATTAATGTCACCAAATCATACACGGGAAAAATGTTGAAATGGTAAATGTTTTGCTATACATATATTTTTTAACACAATAAAAAAAAAAATTTTTTAAGTTTACTAGGTTTAATTCAGAGGAGCTCTGGTGGTGCGATGTTTAAAGCATTTGGCTGCTAACCAGTGGTTCGAACCCACCAGATTCTCTGCGGGAGAAAAATGAGCCAGTCTGCTTCCATAAAAATTTACAGCCTTAGAAACCCTATGGGCAGGCCTATACCCAATAAGGTTGCTATGAGTTGGAATAGACTCAGTGAGTGTGGGTTTGATTGGGTTTTGGTTGTTTGTTTCTGTCTGCTTCAAAATAAAAATAGCCTTGAAGCATTTTTTCCCCCTAGTAAATGAGTCATTAAGCATAAATAATGGCATTCTCTTGGTTGGAAATGTATTTCTTCAGTGATTTAAAAAAAAAAAAAAAGACAGTTTGAAACTGCTATTACCAAGCTTATATGCTTCAATTCAGGATTACACAGTTTCCAGAAAATGCTAGTAAATTCCAAGAGCCAAGAAGTAAGAAAGATCTACTCTGAGAGACGCCATCTTATACTCCAAACCAAACCCATTGCCATCCACTCGATTCCAACTCAGAGAGTGTTAAAGTCTTTATGAGAAGAGAGGCTCCTCATTTTAACCGAAATGTAACACAAAGAAATAAACTCTCCAGATTATATTATATTATAATATTTCAACAAAGTGGCTAGAATATACATCCAGAAGTGGACCCTACACTAAAATTCCTTTACCTTTCAGCCCTCCAAACTACTTAACAGAGTGCACTTTAGTGCTTAAGAGAGTGAGTTCTGGAAATTTCTGTCTGGATATATCCTGATTCTCTCAGGTCTTAGCTATGTAACTTTGGCCAATGACTGGCTTCTAAAAGTCCAAGTTTCCTCATCTGTAAGATTATAAAAACAATACTGCCTATTCCGTAAGGTTGTTATTAGTTTCAACTGGGTGACTAGATATATGGTGTTTAGCACAGTGTCTGTCACCTAGAAGGCAATAAATACTGGTTATTTTGTAGTTCTCATTATTATTATTTTGCATACCCTCCACTACAGCTGACGCACCAGGACTGGAACACATCAACTCTCCTGGCAGGCACACACAGTACACTGGGCATCTTTCCACCTGCACAGGATTCAACTTTTTGTAGGACATTAGCCTCACATCAGCTGCTCTGCCTCTGATGTGGGACTACCTTGGAGAGAAGAGGGCCTGCTGGACATAGAAAACAGGAGCAATCCTTCCTTTGTCTTTCTCATTGAAACAAAGCCAGAAAGCCTAGCTAATTTGGAGATTACCAGCGCAATTTTCCCTAAAGCTGGGATCAGGCAAGCAGACCTGCCTGGGTGTTCTTTCTCTTCTATCTCATGTGTTCATTTGTCATAGGAACCTGTGATTGGTGGCACATTCAGCAATCTTGTGCCCTAGGCACACCACTGTGCCCCTCTCCAAGTGTTTGAAGAGTTTGGGAGGAGGTAACTGCATACAATAAGGTGGGGAAGGCACCACGGGCACAGTAGCATAAATCATTTTACAAAGAGCCAGGAGAGTCCTTCAGGTCCTTTTCAGATCTCTGCTATAATTTTCCTTTTCAGAAACGACGGATTACCAGTTCCCTCCCATCTTGGCAGCAGCAAGAATGCCAGAAGCTGGCAGCTTTCCAGGACAGTGAGCTAGGGCTCCAGTTTCATTTCCCACAATTGGGACTAACATGCATGAATCTGAAAATTCCTCCAAGTCCCTGCTGATAGAGATCATGCCTCATCCCTTGAATACTAAGTAAGCACTGGGCTGCAGAAGGCCTTTCAACAAAGGTGTGAAGGCCCAGGAACACAGAATGAATGGCATTCTCTTTAGAGAGGGGAGCAGCAGCTCTTTCCTGCCATGAATATGTCCTGACTTATAGAGTCACTTACTTACAAAATTAAGATCAGTTGATTGAAAACAACAAGTAGGTAACACATAGGCAATGACTAAAGCAAAAAAAAAAAAAAAAATCCTTGGATAAAGTCAGAGAGCATGTTCCAAACACGTCCCTTCCCTGGGGTTTATTGGTTACTGATTAAAATGATAAACAAGAAGCCAATACGTTCTCTTGCTCCAACCCTCTGACATTTGTTCTAGAATGATTTAGTTTGGATTTTCTTCTTCTGTACTGTTCCACAAAGGCTGTGAGGTACCAAATCCATTTATCTAATCCCTCTGTATTTAACTGAGCAATGGAGCCCATACCCTGACTTTGCTGATTGGGTGTCTGAAGCATTTGTTGTCTCCAGTCTCGCTGAGCGTTATGGCATAGAATTGCCCTTTGTTGAGGTAGGTCATAGGGCCCTCCCCTTGCTTCTGACGGAGAGATTTGGTGGCTTCCAGGGTGTACTGAAATGTGCCACTGTGAACAGAAAACAAAGAGTGGTCAGATTCACTCACTTGAACATTCTTGCCTTCCCAATCAATTTCACATCAACAATATTTTATATAAATATTATTATATTTTATATTATATTAACCAAAATTTATACTCTATTTTAGAGACAAAATACAACATATGGCAAAAGAAATGAGATTGGACCAAAGGTCATTTCTAGTACACTGTATACAACATTTGTAATAGTGGCCCATAACACCTTATGCACAGGGAGACAGCTTAGGGGGCAGGGGCAGATTAGGGGGCAGAGTATGGAGGGATGGACACTGGGAAGTGGTACCTTGGGGAGGAAATTGGAGGGGAGCTGTTGCATTGTGGTAAATTGTGGTCAATGACATGAGACAAAGTATATGTGAACTGCTGTATCGAGAGTGAATTTGCTCTGTAAATCTTCACCCAAATCTAAATAAGATAAAATTAAAAAAAAAAAAAATAGTGGCCCATAAAGCAGATGGTTTAGAGGGGGAGAAGGTCCTTGATGTTCCTGGCTGCTGCGTAAGGCTGAGCCTGCAGAACCTCTATGAGCTCTCAGCTGGCATTGGTCAATGCTGGAGGTGTAAAAATGGACAGCATCTGCCATTTTTATCATAGCAACAAACTAACTGCATGAAATGCTATTGTTCAATCCATATATACACCTAACCTTCTTTTAGTCTAATCAAAGTGTTTGGGAGCTCTGGTAGCATAGAGGCTAAGACACTTGCCTGCTAACCAGACGGCTGGTGGTTCAAACCCACCAGCCACTCCTTGGAAGGAAGGTTGGGCAATCCTACTTCCGTAGTGATACTGCCTTGGAAACCCAAGGAGGGGTCGCTATGAGTCGGGGCCGACTCGACGGCACATAACAACAACAACAACATATCTCACCTTAGAATATTTCAAACTGTGAAAATCCCAAAATCAAACATCTATTACTGAGTTCCTAGTTCAATACAAAGAGTGTTTTGGGGTTTTATTTGTTTGTTTTCAAGCCTGCAGAAAAACTCATGACAGGGTTGATCTAAATCAGGGGTTTGTAAATGACCCATGGGACAAATCTGGCCTGTACCAATATTTGTAAATAAAGTTGTATTGGAACACAGCTCCACTCACTTGTTTATGCATTGCCAATTGGTATTGTCTCTGGCTACTTTTGGACTACTTCTGCAAAGTTGTGGCAGAGAATGTATGACATGTAACACATATTTACCACCTAGCCCATTACAGACAAGTTCATGGAACTCTAACACATTTGAAATATGATTTAATTTACAAAATAAAAACACTGATTTACCTAATTTTGAAGGATATATTAATTATTTAAAATAAGCAATCACTTTTTAACATTCTCATCTCAAAACTCTTTCTGTGTGCTTCGTTGCTACAGATGTCACAATGACGACCCACTAACAAATGTTCTATGTGTTTCCTGAACCTTCAGAAACTCTTCATTGGGGCCATCTATGTTTTTAGCTCTTTAATTGCGTCTTCTTTGAAAGTTGAATGTAAAGGTGACTCAAAGTTTTTGAATGCCCTACTTTGGAGTTTACAAACTACTCTTGCTTTTTTTTTTCTTAATATTTCTATGACGTTTGATTCTTTTTAACTTTGTTAACGAGGAAAAAATGTTGAAGGGCAAAATGATGCTCGTCTTTGATGATAAAAATCTTAGGCTTCAAACAATAAATAAGCAAATTTCAGAAATGCTTCTTAGTACAAGATAGGAAATAAATCATTCAAGACAGAACCAATTCCCTTGTCATTTCACATGAAAAGGCAATTTCAAGGTAGTATGATTGTAATTTTAGAGCTGGAGAGGATATTAGGAAACACCCAGACCAGTGTCCCTAACTAGTTTTGGGCACAAATTGCTTTAAAGATGTGAAGAAAATGATGAACCCTCCTCCCGGAAAAATGCACATGTCAACCTAAGTGATTTTGAATATAATTTCAGGGGTTTGTGTTCCCCAAGCCTATCCAGGAGTGGAACCTTGATGTGGTCCATTTCTGTCATTTCCCAGCTGAGGGGAAGCTGAGCTTTGCTCACTCCACTGGCAGTGACAGCAACAGAAAGAGAAGCCAGGTCACATGAGAGGTAGGTGATGCTCGTTTCTTGGGTCTGAGAGTTGATTACATGGCGATCTGGACTTATACCATGCAAATTATATATGCATCCCATATTTTAGAAGAGGTTTGGAATTTTATTCTCCTTTCAACCCCCACTCAAGTTCTCATGAGGATGATCTGGGGAGGATGACAGAGGAGCCTGAGAAGGGAACAAGTCCCTGAAGGAGGAGGGCATCAGGTAAACACAGAAAGAACAGAAGAGGGCCAAATATGAAAAAGCAAGAAGGTGAGAAATAAGGTAGGAAATAAGGTTCAAAGTAAAGAGGGACCAGAAAGTGAAAGGACTTGACCACCTTTGTAAGGAATCTGTGCTTAATTCTTTCTGAAATCAAAAATTCCCTGGCAATTTTTGAGGATGGGAGAGAGACAATCATTTCTCACCATTCCCTCTTGTCTTTAGGCATGATCATGACTCAAGGTCTTTGAATATCTGGCCTCTTTACCTAAAGTCCTCATAAGCCTTCTTTTCCTGCGACACTCCTGCTGGTAATTCTTTCAAATCCCACTCATATATATGCCACTTCCTGTGAAGCCTAACCCCTCAATCCACCTCCCATCCACACCCCCTCACACACACACCCAGGCTCTCCTTTCGTGTATCTCTGTATTAGGACTCATCACTTGCCAAATGTATTGCAATTTATCTGTCACCATGCATGTTTCCTCCAAAGTCTATGGGCCTCAGAGGTTATATTATATCCCCAGTCCCTATCTAATGGCTGGTACATGGGAGGCATCTTAAGAAAAATACGAGCCGGGAGATCAGTTGTATTGCAATAATTCAGGAGAAAGTTGACAAGAGTAAATTTGAAAGGGAGATAAAAAGTACAACAGACGTATTCAGCACTTGGTACACAATGTGGAATGCTAGCAGACAGGCAGGCCCTTATTCCTGCAGCTTGTGTGGCTAGGGAGATGGCTGTATTGTTCACAACAATGAAAAACGGAAGCAGAAGTCCAGATAGGAACGAAGTGGAGGAGGAAGGGGAAGGAGGGGGAAAGAGGTCCATTTAACAAACATTGAGTTAGAGAGGCCTGTGAGTGTGAGGTTCAGAGGAGCACCTACAAAGAGATGTCTGGCCAACCCAAGGAAGGAAAAAACAGGTCTATCTAAGCATCAGAAAATCAGTCAAGCCTGAAAATAATGATGTAGAAGTCATCTGTACAGTGAGAAGAAATGAAGAAATAGGAAATCAGATTGTGCCATGAAAGTAGACAAAGAATAAATGTTTCCACATATAACTTGAGGTATATTGAAAGGGTTGTCAGTTTATCACTTTTCAGATTTATTGTCTGATAACCTACCTTGACGTCTGGTCATACATGTACTCCTCAGCGCCAACTGAAGCACTCCGAAATTTCTGCAAAGTTTAAAAGTCATCAAAGTTAAAACCAATGAGGCATCGTGCTAAAAAATTCACAGTGATCAATGTATCCAAACTGTTTTACTCTCTCCTTAGAAAGAAAAGTTATTTATTTTTGGTATTACATTTTCAATCTACAGTGGAAATAGTTATCAGTTGTTCATGGATCTTGAATATCTTCTACACACTGAGGACAACATTTCATACAATGCAGGCAGTCCCCAAGTTACGATGTATTCGAGTTACAACAAACTGCACCTACAACTTTCTGTGTTTTCATTTTTATTTTTTTAATACATCTTATCGTTAGTAATATGTACTACATATAATGTTGGGGCATATAATTTGCTGATGTTATCATTCTCAGATGTTCACTCACAGATGTTCAAATATCAAATTTATAGAGAAACTGATCATAAAAGGCAATGATAATGAAAAATTTTTAAAAGAGAGAGAGAGGTATTCGACTTACATCAGAACCAACTTACAATGGAATCATTGGAACGCAACCCCCTCATAAGTCAGGGTCTACCTACACTTTTGTTATTTGCACATCCATCATATCTTTGCATGGATCCTGTAAGCCTTTGCAGGCATTTATATTTATATTTATAAATACTTATATTTATATTTCCTCAAAAACATAAAACATCTCTTCCATTTTCTATTATCTTCAGCACTTATGCCAAATGTCAAAAATTCCAAATTAATGGAACACGAAATACAGAGAGGTTACAGAGCATAAAAAAAGTGCAGTAGAGTGGTTAGAGCATAGTTTCTAGAACCAGACTGTTCAGGGTCAAGTTCTTGCTCTTTTACCTATTACCTTTGTAACCTGGGGCAACTGTCATATTTTTTTGATCTGTAAAATGCCTATACCTTATAATTAGCAGGAGGATTAAATGAGTTAACAGAGGCGAAGTACTTAGTCAAGTGCCTAGGACACAGTTGGCACTATATATGTGTATACAATACTATCATATAGCAATGGCTTGTCCATAGTCAGTGCCCTTCAGTAAGGACTCTTTCATTAGCACAACGTTGGAAGAGTACGTTTTTTGGAGCAACTAAATCTTACTACATGTGAAGCAATTTTGATCTCAAGATACTCAGTTGTTGTATATATAATATAAATAGGATATGCTTTGTATATTTTAGAACTTTTTCAAAAGCAGATGCACAAAAGTCCTGACTATTGATCCTAAAATAAATAGAATATTGACAAAAAAAAAAAAAGCACTGAGTGACCACGTACACCTAGTGCTTCCACTGTGACCTTCTCCCAAGCATCTTTCACTTTTTGACTGGTAGTTCAAGGTTTTCCTTCCTCAGGAAAGTATTGAAAAACCAAAACCAAACTCAAAGCCATTGAGTCAATTCTGACTCATAGTGACCCCTCCTGGGGTTTCTGAGGTGGTTTCTCTACGGAAGTCAATTGCCCACTCTGCCTTCTGAGGAGTGGCTGGTGGGCACTACACCACCAGAGCTCTCCAGGAAAGTATTACTGAGAATTACTTTCTAAACTTTCTTCTCAATCCCTAACCATGATCCCTAGAATTCAGTGTACTCATATACTTGTGTATCACAGTATACCAGTACCTACCTATGCTCCTTCCCTTTCTCTAACAGGCTTATAAATTCCTTTGGTCCAAGGAGATGGTCTGTCCTTCAGAGTTCACCCAAATGCATCCAATGAACATTTCACAAATACTTATTAAATGGTTGTATAATCATGACAGAGAAATCAAAGGTACTGATTTGTGTTTCTTTTGCAATCAATCAATCAGCAAAGCACGCACTGGGAATTTTCTGGGGCTTCACCATCTACTTGGTGCCAGGAGAAAGACATAGGTGATATGGCACTTTGTCTTGGTCTCAAAGAGATAAAAACTGATTGATAAAATAGAGTAAATGATTAAGAATGAAAGTCCATGTTCATTCACTCATTCATTCATGTGTCCTGGCTAGAAAGCACAGGGTGTGTAATGCCAGGAAAGGAATCAGCAAAACTGTAGAAAGATCCCACTGAGATTTATGAGTTTTGCTCTCACCCTTAAAAACTAAAGAGAACTGGGATTAACCAAAGGAACTAAGGGAAAGTAATCCAGGTGAGAGAGGACTACCATGAATCAACAGAAAATGATGGGAAGGAATGTGATGAGCACATGAGCCAAGGACACAGACCTGACCTGATTATAACAAACTGAAAAACAAACCCACCACACAGAGTCAGTTCCAATTCATAGCAACACTTTACGACAGAGAAGAACTGCTCCATAGGGTTTCCTAGGCTGTCAATCTTTACAGAAGCAGATTGCCTCATTTTTCTCCCACAGAGCAGGTGGTAGACTTGAACTACCAATGTTTCGGTTAGCAGCCTAATGCTTTTAACCACTATGCCACCAGAGCTCCTCTGATTATGAAGGGAAGACCTGAAATTTCACGTCTTTGCTGCCCAACACAGTAGTCATTATGTGGCTATTAGCCAATAGCCATTGCTATTTAAATTTGTTAATTTGTGAATTAATTACTGTGGTAGTTAAATTGGTATGTCAACTTGGCTGGGCCTGGTTGAGTGGCTGGGCAGCTGGTGGTAGTTATTCCCCATGATGAGACTGGCAATCAATTCCATGGTGAGATCTACCATAAGCAGCTGAGTAGCTGTCTTTGGGATGCGGTCTGCTTCCTGTATATAAGAAGCTTTGGGGATAGTCTCTAGCTTATGGTGCGCTTGGACCCTACATGTAGCCATGTCGTTATTCAACAGCCTGCCATGCTCTACCGACCTTGGGACTTACAATGGACTTAAATTAATGGCATGCCATGTGGTTTGGTAACATCAGGACTGTGCCTTTTTACTTGTCAACCTTGGGTTTGTCAGCCTCAGCAGCCAGCAGCTGTCTGAGTGAAGAAACGCCTCTAGCGCTCCAGTGGGCTGGGAGCAGGAGGCAGACCTGGACCCCAGGGTTGAGGGGCTTTCACCCAGCCCCTAGAGCCTGGCACTTTGAACTTGGACTTAAAGCCTCCAAACTGTAAGAGAATGAACTCCTGTTTGTAAAAGCCATCCCATTTGTGGTATATTCTTGTCACAGTGGCACTAGATAACCAGAACAATTACTTTAATTGAATTGAATATTCTGTACCTCAGTCAACTAACCATATTTCAAATACTCAACTGCCATATGTGGTCAGTAGCTGTCATGTTGTTATTGTTGTTGTTAGGTGCCATGCAGTCATCTCCAACTCATAGAGATCCTATGCACAGCAGAACGAAACACCATCTAATCCTGAGCCAGCTCTGTAATTCTTGCTATACTTGAGCCCATCACCACTGCCACCATCTCATTGAGGGCCTTCCCCTCTTTCATCGACCCTCCACCTTACCAAGCATGACATCCTTCTGCAGGGAATGGTCCCTTCTGACAACATGATCAAAGTAGGTGAGACGAAGTGTGGCCATTCTCACCTCCAAGGAGCATTTTGGCTGTACTTCCTGCAGGACAGACCTGTTAGTTCTTTTAGCAGTTCACGGTACTTTCAGCATTCTTCACCAACACCATAGCTCAAAAGCATCAATTCTTCTTCGGTCTTCCTTATTCATTATCCAGCTCTCACATGCATATGAGGCGATTGAAAATACCATGACTTGTGTCAGGCGCACCTTAGTCCGCAAGGAGACATTTTTGCTTTTCAGCACTTGAAAGAGGTCCTTTGCAGCCACTTTGCCCAGTGCTATACGTCGTCTGATGTCCTGACTGCTGCTTCCATTGGCATCAATTGTAGAACCAAGTAATGTGAAGTCTTTGACAATTTCAATCTTTTCTCCATTCATCGTAGTTCAATGTAGTTCCCTTTTTCTGTTTGAATGACAGCCTCCTGGTCTATGTACAGGTTCCTCATGAGTACAGTTAAGTGTTCTGGAATTCCCATTCTTCTCAACATTACCCATAATTTTTTATGATCCACACAATCAAATGCTTTTGCGTAGTCAATAAAACACAAGTAAACATCTTTCTGATATTCTTTGTTTTGAGCCAAGATCCATCTGAAATCAGCAATGATATCCCTCATGCCATGTCCTCTTCTGAATCCAGCTTGCATTTCTGGAAATTCCCTGTCAATATACTACTACAACCGTTTTTTAATTATCTTTTGTAAGATTTTACTTGCATGTCATATTAATGATATTGTTCAATAATTTCCCCATTCTGTGGGATCACCTTTCTTTGGAATGGGTACAAATATGGATTTCTTCCAGTCAGTTGGCCAGGTAGCTGTCTTCCAAATCTCTTGGCATAGCCGAGTGAGTGCTTCTACTGGGGCATCTGTTTGTTGAAACACCTCAACTGGTATTCCGTCAATTCTTGGAGCCTTGTTCTTTGCCAATTCTTTCAGCATAGCTTCAACTTCTTCCTTCAATACCACTGGTTCTTGAACATATGCCACCTTCTGAAATGGATGAAGATTGACCAGTTCTTTTTGGTACAGTGACTCTGTATTCCTTCCATCTTCTTTTGATGCTTCCTGCATCATTCAATATTTTGCCCATAGAATCTTTCCATATTGCAACTTGAGGCTTAATTGTTTTCCTCACTTCTTTCAGCTTGAGAAATGCCGAGCATGTTCTTCCCTTTTGGTTTCTAACTGCAAGTCTTTGCAAATTTCATTACAGTAATTGGCTTTGTCTGCTCGAGCTGCTCTTTGGAATCTTCTGTTCAGCTCTTTTATCTTGTCATTTCTTCCATTTGCTTTAACTACTCTTCACTCAAGGGCAAGTTTCAGAGTCTCTTCTGACATCCATTTTGGTCTTTTATTTCTTTCTCGTACTTTTAATGACCTCTTGCTTTCTTCATGGATGACGTTCTTGATGTCATCCCACAATTCTTCTGGTTTTCAGTCTCTGGTGTTCAATGCATCAAATCTATTCTTTAGGTAATGTCTAAAATCAGGAGGGATATATTCAAAGTCGTATTTTGGCTCTTGTGGACTTGTTTCAACTGTCTTCAACTTCAAGTTGAACTTGCATATGAGCAGTTTATGGTCTGTTCCACAATCAGCTCCTGGCCTTGTTTTGGCTGAAGATATTGAGCTTTTCCATCTCCTCTTGCCCCAGATATAGTCAATCTGATTCCTGTGTACTCCATCTCGCAAAGTCCATGTGTATAGCGCCATCTGTGTTGTTGGAAAAGGGTATTTGCAATGAATAAGTCATTGGTCTTGCACAATTCTATCATGCAATCTCCAGTGTTATTTCTGTCACCAAGGCCAAATTTTCCAACTACTGGTGATTCTTCTTTGCTTCCAACTTCTGCATTCCAATCACCAGTAATAAGCAATACATCTTGATTGCATGTTTGGTCAATTTCAGACTGCAGAAGTTGATAAATATCTTAAGTTTCCTCATCTTTGGCTTTGGTGGTTGGTGCTTAAATTTGAATAATAGTAGTATTAACAGGTCCCCCTTGTAGGCGTATGGATATTATCCTATCACTGACAGCATTGTACTGCAGGCCAGATCTTGAAACATCCTTTGTGATGATGAATGCCACACCATTCCTCTTTAAACTGTTATTCCCAGCATAGTAGAGCATGTGGTTGTCTGATTCAAAATTGCCAAAACTGGTCCATTTCAGCTCACTAATGCCTAGGATATCAATCTTTATGCATTCCATTTCATTTTTGACAACTTCCAATTTTCCTACTTCGTATATTCCATGTTCCAATTATTAATGGATGTTTGCAGCTGTTTCTCCTCAATTTGAGTCATGCCATGTCAGCACATGGAGGTCCATATTAGGTAGCATAAACAAATATTTCCATTATTGGGCAGTGCTGATCTAGGATAAGGTGTTTACAAAATTTACTTTCTAAAGAAGTGATTTAAAGATAAAGGAGATGAATTTCCAAGGTCTTCTGTGTTTGGAGGAATATGCCATAATCCGTAACAATTCATGGTGAGCCAGTACTAATAAACACAGCCTTCAATGAATTTATTGTCCATGCCATAGAGCTCTGCAGCCTGAGGACAGGTAGCCTATTGAAACATATTGGATTCATAAAATCTACCATTCAGTCCTCCAGAAGATATACTGTAAGAGTTCACACTCAAAAAGTTTATTGAGCATATGCTGACTGAAATACAGAATCCTACTCCAGTAACATGAGTGCATTTGGACAAATACTGTGAAAAAATAAAAAGCATTGATATGTTACAGGCATGGGTATTTCTTTTCTAAAAGTTTCAATTTTGTTCTTTAAGGAGGTTACATTAAGTTTATAAGTTAAAGGGATTAAAATTGTCACAGCACAATTAATTATAAATTACACAGCACAATTCTAGAGCATGGCACAGCATGCAGAGGCAAGAGCGAGCTCAGAATAGAGTTTAAGGAGGAAAGAGGCACAAGGTGAAGTGGCAAAGGCAGATGGAAGCAGACTATGCAATGCCTTGGGGACCTGGCAAAGATATAGATGTTACTCCTAAAAACAACAGGATTTGAGTGAGGAGAGGACAGGATCAGGTGTGCTTTCAAAAAGACCATCCTAGGAACAGTATACAGAACAGACTAAAAGGGAACAAAAGCACACATACAGCAGTAGCATAGGACAGAGATCATGGTTGCTCGGGCCAGTATGGTGGAGGAAGAATGGAGACAAATGAATGGATTCAAAGGGCTTCAGAGGTAAAATTGATAGAATTGATAATAGATGAGATGGGGATGAGTCCTGGTTGTCTGAGCAATCAGAAAGATTGTGGTGCCACCCACTAAGATGGCAAACACACAATGGGGAGAGAAGATTATATAGTAAATTTTAAACATGTTGTCCACCAACTTTTTGGTTAGCAGCTAAGCAATTAACCACAGCACTAACAGGGCTCCTCTGTAAAGATTACAGACGAGAAAACCCTAAGGAGCAGTGCTGCTCTGTAAACCTGGGGTCACCATTAGTCTGAATCAACTTGATGGCAAATAGGTTTGGGCTTTTTGTGTGTGTGCCATCTATATGATCTTTCTTCTCCTGCTGGGGTGACCTTGGAAGCCACATGTAGAGGCGGTAATGCCACAAGAGGAGGGGAACCTGGATTCCTGAGTCACTGATTGGAGGACATGTCACAAAACAAGCACATGAAAAGATTACTAGACATCAGAGAACACAAATTTAAGCCATAATGAGGTATTGCCCATACCACCTAAAATAACTGAAGTTAAAAAGATTGACAAGACCAAATTTTGGCAAAGATGCTAAAAGAAGAGCTCTCATTGCTGGTGGAATTGCAAATGGCAGAGTCATGTGGGAACACTGCATTCCAGTACTTTGTAAAGTTAAACATACATTTACTGCATGACCCAGCAATTCCAATCCTAAGTATTTCACAGGATTTAAAAAAAAAAAAAAAAAAAAATGCATCCACATAAAAACATAGCCATGAATGTCCATAGTGGCATTATTCATAATAACAAACTGGAAGCAACACAAATATCTGTCAATTGGTGAATGAATAAACAAATTGTGATATATACGTACTGTGGAGTATTACTCAGCAATGAAAAAAACCACTAATACAATCAGCATCATGGATGAATCTCAAAAATTTTACTCAAAGTGAAAGAAGACAGAAAAAATACTTGTGTACTGTTAATATAAAATATTAGAAAAGGCTAGTAGCAGAAAGCAGATTAGTGTTTTTCTAGACCAAGGGGGAGGAAAAGGAATAGCCAAACAAGCAAAAAAGATGCTCAAGGAAACTTTCACAATGAGGAAAATTTCCTATCTTGAGTCTGGTGTTGGTTGAAAAATTATATACAATTACAGGCATACCTTGGATATACCATGGGCTCGGTTCCAGACCACTGCAATAAACTAAATATCGCAATCAAACTAAGAAACCAAACTCATTGCCATCAAGTCAGTTCCAACTCATAGCAACCCCCACTGGGTTTCCAAGGCTGTAAATCCTGGTGGAGGCAGATCATCTCATTGTTCTTCCACAGAGCCGCTTGTACGTTCAAACCATTGACTTTTGGTTAGCAGCCTAATGCTTTAACCACTACACCACCAGAACTCCTGAGATGTCACAATCAAGTGAGTCAAGCACATTTTTTGTTTTCCCAGTGCAGATAAAAGTAATGTCTACACTACACTGTGGTCTATTCATTGTGCAATGGCTTTATGAAAAAGTTCGAAATGTGAAAATTACCAAAACGTGACACAGAGACACGAAGTGAACACATACTGTTGGAAAAATGGCTCCAATACACTTGCTCAACACAGCATTGCCACAAACCTTCAATTTGTAAACCACAATATCTATGAAACACAATAAAGTGAAGTGCGATAAAACGAGGTATGCCTGTACTACAATTCTCACACTCTACGCTTAAAATGTGTGAATGTAAAACAGACAAGCAAGGAAACAAAATTATTTCTGTAAGTTCTAAAGGCACCTGTAAGTTCTCTGCAAATAGAGAATGTTTGGTCTCTCTTGGTAAGATGCAAAGCACATATACACACATCTGATTATTGATACTACAAAGTCTCTTTCTTGACTATTCAATTAGATCAGACTTTAAAGAGTCATATTAAAGAGTTATATTGTTATCACCCAAATCAGTTAAAAATTTTAAAAATTAAAAGTTATATTGTAAAAAATCTATACTGTACAGGTAGCATCTTCACTTTGGGTGCTATTGGGAGGGAAGATTACAAAAAAGGTCAATGTGAAGATGCAGTGTAGTAAATTACTTAGTGTGGCTTTTCTACCCATAAGTCTTTGTAAACTCCAAGGTGGGATTTTCTATGAGCAACTGAGGAGCTATCCACCTGGGTTATTTCTGTTGGGTGTGGCACAATACAATGTTCTGGGAGGTTCCCACTCTCTCTCATGTGCTTAGAGTTCTGATGCTGTGATTGGCTAGTTTGACCACCCTTCCGGGCTCAAAAGGAGGCCTCCTGGAGGCAGAACTCTCTCGGACTGCTGGTTGAGGAAGACGTGCTGCCGAAAGAGACACGCATCCCTGAAAGAGACACGTGCTGCTGGGAAAGAGACACAAGAGACACGCATCGCTGAGTGAGACACCGAGGGACCAGCACTGCTGGGAAAGAGACTGTGAGAGAGACTGAGCGTTCTTCCTGAACTTGAGTTGTAGCCTGGTGCTTCCCTAATAAACCCCATAATCTGTGAGTTCTGTGTGGCCACTGCAGTGAATTATCGAACCCAGGAGAGAGGTGGTGGGTGCTTTGGGAGGAACGGTTGGTGAAAGGGCTGGAGGGAGGCAGCATGTCTGGCCTTGTAGGAATAGGCCTTGAGTTACTGCTGGTAATCCTGTCTTCCTCTTGGAGGGTTAGAGGAGGTCAGAACATGTGGTCTCCATGCCGTTTTTGCACAAGACTTTTCAATGTAGACAGTTTTCACACAAAAAGCTCTTAATTCCCATAAATAAGTTGAAGACTACAGCTAAAACAAACCAAAGGAATCTGTCATCTAGAGGGTCGAGAAAAATAGAAATATTCTTCCATACACACATACCCATAGGTTATTAAAATATGTTTATAAAGAAAGATATAAACAAGCCCATTAAAAAACAAATAAACAGAAAAAATCTCACCATTTCATCCATTTATCCCACTTAAGAAGCAAATAGAGAAAAAAAAGTAGCTAGAGGCTGACTTTGGGCCTGGGATACTCAGGAAAGGCCAGGGACTCACCTCTGTGGGTCCATCTTTGAAGCTCTCACTATAGGTGCTGTCGGGGGTGCTGCGCTGGTCTTCCTTGAGATAGGTGCTGTGGGTGGCGATAGAGGGCACGTCATACTGAGACTGTTCGTAGATAACCACTCGGTGCTCCTCGCCGTCCCCCCGGGTGTAGTGCACAGGCGGGGCCATGAAGACCGGTGTGAACTCTTCGGCTTTCACCACAGTGACTCCTGACACAGGGATGACCGCTGGGCTCTCGGGGACGTTTGTGCTGTACTGCTCCCGCTTGGAATTCTCCAGGTGGTCTTGATTTAGGGAAAGGTTCACTGGAACAGTCTTTAGGACCTGCACTCGATTTTCTCCTCCACTCAAATTACTCTGAGCTTCACTGGTGCCAAGACAGTTTCTGTGTGTTTAAACCCGCCCCCCCACAACATGACAGAATTAGAAAAATCACCATTTTACAATTGCTAATAAAGTAACCGAAGTGGGCACTGACACCACAAGAAGAAAGGCTCGTGGTGAACTTCACACTAAAGGGCCAAGCTGACCCCACCCGAACCCACCCTGAATCTTTGCATTACTAACTGGAGAACAATTAGATATGTGTGCCTCGTGGTGAAAGAGCCCTGGTGGCACAGTGGTTAAAGCACTTGGCTGCTAACCACAAGGCCTCTGGTTTGAACCTACCAGCCACTCTTAGATAGAGAGATGTAGCAGTCCGCTTCCATAAAGATGACAGCCTTGGAAACAAGGGGCAGTTCTACTCTGTCCTACAGGCTCACTATCAGTTGCAGTCAACGCAAAGCCAATGGATTTGGGCATTTTCAGGACTCACAGTGCCATGCATGAAATACCTTCAGTCCTGTCTATCATATATTATTGCCAAGAAGGGAGAAAAAAAAAATGGCTCTAGATTTAATCAAGTCATTCGAGCTTAATTTCCAGCTTTTAGGAAATACAGGAGCTGGAAGAATGACTTTCATGACATCAAAAAGAAGCAATCAGGCAGAGCAGAATGTAGCACATCTTAATGACTTGACTTCTTCAAAAGTCAAAGGCATGAAGAGAAGTGGAGGAGTGAGGGGACTGTTCTAGATTAACAGAGACTTAAAAGGCATAACAATCACATACGATGAGTAGATCTCATCTGAATCCTGATCCAAATAAGCCAAAGAGGCATTTATGAATTAAGAGAATTTGTGAAGCAATTGAACGTGGTCTGGGTATCATTAGAAATTAAGGAAGCATTGTTAGTTTAGTTGGTGTGACAGTGGTTGTTGATTACATAATAAATACCCTTAAATTTTAGAGATACAAGTCAGAAGTATTTAGAGGTGAAAAGGCATGAAGCTAGGGACTTGTTTTAAAATACCATCACCACAATCAACATATGAGATCAAAAGGGCAACATTTGCCCAGGAATAAAACTCAGAAAGCAAGAATGGATAGAAAAGAAGGACAAGGGGAACTGGTAAACACGGGGAAGAAGTGAGAAGAGCACTGTTACCCTGTGGGGATTGCAATCAATGTCACAAAACAAAATGTGTAGGAATTGTTGGATGAAAAAACCAATTTGCTCTGTAAACTTTCACTCAAATCAAATGAATAAATAAACTATCACCAAAAAAAGAAGAGGAGAAAAAAGACAGAAATTAAGAAAGTTGTTATAAAAATTTACCATTACTAAGTCTGGAGGATGGGACAATATTTGGGAATTCATTATACTATTCTCTCTACTTCTGTGATTGTTTGAAAATTTTCAAAAGAAAAAGTCTTTACAGTGCTTTAAAAAAAAAAAAAAAAGTGAGGGGGGTGTTGTGTTTCTACACAAACACCTCTTAATTCCTAAAATAGCAAAAAAGATTTGTTATTCAACACTGGTGAGTAAGTAATTTGAAAAGAGGGTGGTGAGAAGGATATTTTTCACCATCCTGTGGGCTAAACTACTTATAGGAAACACAAGATATATGAAAATTTATCATTAAAATACTTTAGCCAAATTGAGAGATAACATGAACTCACTGATATCCTTAGCAACCAATTGCTTTCAGGGTTTACGGAAGTGGTGTGACTGGGCTTATGTAAGACAAGATCTCCCAGATTGCAAATCTCCTGACTGGAGACAGAAAGGAGAGGATTTAGAAAATTAATTCTTGCCAGGCTAGGATGAAATACTCTCATTTATACCCAGGAATTCTGGAAGATAGCAGAAGCAAAGAGGAACTCATTAATGGAACATTATTGTTGACAGCTAAATACTTTTACTACCAAAACCCTTTTGGTCAGGAAAAATTGGGGCTACCTCTCACTTGGTTATGGACTATTCTGAAAGACATGGAGAGGAAATGCATGTTTTGTGGGGAACTCTGTCTCAAATGTTCTTCTCTGTAAAGAAGGAAGAACATTAGCCTCGGAGCTTGCCTTAACTATCAAGCAGGGCTTGGTATTTTCAGCTTTGATTTTGCAGATAAAACTTCAAAGTGAAGCTTGAGGGAAGAATGTCTCCACATGAACAAAGCCAACAACAAAAAATACCTAAACTTCTCTGAATTGGTCACAGATCTGTCAAGATCATTCTAGAAAAGAAGCCTCTAAGGAATAAAAGCATAAGTCTATAAACACTTTGCAAAGAACTATAAAGCTTTAGGTGACGATCTGGTTTCATGACCAAACCAATACAGCCAACCTGTGTATCAGGCCCAGGGGAATTTTCTAAAGTATGTTTAATACAGATCAAGTAAAACTGGAAGATGCCACAGTACAGACCACCCATTTATATTCAACGTCATTGTTCATAATTGCATGGAATGTTAACGTTCCTCAAAGAAAGAAGTTCATGATAAAAATCAGTTTAAAAAAAAAAAAATGCTAAAACGCTGCCAAAAGACCAAGGTAAAGTTTCACAAAGACCATGAACACAGAAAGACAATGGGCATTCCTTCTCCTGTTTATTTGTAACCCACCTTTTCCCAAATTCATTTGGCCCAGACCCTTTTGTAGAGCAAACACTATTTTTATCATATAGATAATATTCTGCAGTTTGGGTTAAGAACGGTTGGTCTTCATTGACTTGCTACCAAAGACATTTTCTAGTTTCCACTTTTCTGGGCTCTGCACAGACATAGTCTTATTGGCTTTGCCAAAATATTCAAAGTTAGCCAACTTCTCTATAGCTAGAGTCCATTTCTGGTCAACTTCATTAATCCTTTAATTCATGAAAAATGTATAAATTCTAAAGAAGAAAGAAAAAGTCAAAATATTTTTCAGTGGTCTTACAAATAAATAAGCAAACAATGGTGTTGTATTAATTTAGTTGAATCGTTATTTCCGTATCACCAGTAAATAATTGATTCAGCAACACCGATTATGTGTAACTATGTCTTTATAAATAGTACTCTTTATAAATAACTTTAGAAAATAATGCCAGAGAGCTTCAGGAAGACATCAGAAAAATGGACAACTGGAACAAAGTAAAAATTATTGTAAGATACTGACTCGCCTGCAATAGAATTTAAAATTGAATCGAATAGTATACAATAAAAATGCAATGCCAAGAATGGTATATTAAATATACTTTTTTAAAAATTTTTGAATCGTATCATTGAGAGTCTCATTTATTTTTCCAATTATCAGTTTATGTATACAAAGAGTTGGAATGATATGTTAACACTTGGCACCCTGATTCATGAGTACACTCCAGATCAAATGATAGCCTTCAAAATTATAGTCAATCAGAAGTCTACCAAAAAATCCAAGCCCACTGCCATCAAGTCAATTCCAACTCATAGTGACCCTCTGGTGGTGTAGTGCCTAAGGCATCTGACTGCTAACCAGAAGGCTGGTGGTTCAAACCCCCCAAGCCACTCCTCGGAAGAAAGATTAAGCAATCTACTTCTGTAGAAATACCACCTCGGAAACCCAAGGAGGGGTCACTATGAGTCATTATTGACTCAACGGCTGTGAGGTTAGTGACCCTACAGAATACAGTAGAACTGCCCCACCAGGTTTCCAAGGCTGCAAATTTTTATAGAAGCAGACTGCCACATCTTTCTCCTGTGGAGCAGCTGGTGGGTATGAACTGCTGACCTTTCCGTTTGCAGCTGAGTGCTTTAACCACTGTGCCACCTGGGCTCCTACTGACCATAAGTCTACTAAGTCCTTTTTGGTCTCTGCAAGGTAATGTAGTCAAATACATCACTGCTACATTGTTCAAGGTGCTCCAATGAAATCACAAAAATAACCACTAAAATACACTGAGATGCTTTCAGTTTTTAATTTTATTCTAAACGATGCTTTAACAAAAAGTGACCTCTTTCATCTATTATGGTGTTATGTAGGCCGAGTATGCATCTTAGACTCCTTTTTTCCTGACCTGCTATGATCACTGCTATAGGATAGTAGACAGCCCCTGCTCAGCTTCATATACATTGGCAGAATCCTAGGAAAGTTTCAGGACCTGCAGAGAGTCAGCCTCTTCCTCCTGACATCACTGTACCAACTATGTCCTAGGGCTCCAGGGCAGCTTGGCCCATCAGAAAAGTGAATCAGATTCATTTCAAACTGCCTTAATCCCCTGCTGGGCGGCACCTTGGAAGTACTGCTGGTTGGTGGAGCGGACCCCTGATGCTAATCATATAACAAGATAAGAAAGTCATAACGAGTTCCTATCAAAGCCACGTAAAATTCTAAACCATTTGCTGGGGGTGAGGGGTTTTCATTTCTCCTGGGTTACTATTGCCTTGTGAAAGAAGCTCCAACAGAAAACCACTTGTGGCTCCTCTCCGTCCCCCTGCAGAGGAAGAGACTGATCTGTTTGCTAAGCTTGGGAAAAATAGCTGAGCAGGGTGATTCAGACCCCAGAGTCTTTCTTTTTCTCTGGATCTTCCTGGTCAGAGAAGGGACACTCCAATCACCCTGCCCATTGCCTTTACTGTGTTCATGATCTGTCCCTTTGGGGAGGCCTGAAGCTCTGCCTGGGACTGAGTATGAAGATGGATCTCAGCCAGAACTGAAGGGTTACAAGCTGCAGATTCAAAGTTACATTCGCCAATTGGCTTCATCAGAAAGAGAGCTTTTTTGTTAGTTTGTTTTTAATCTCAACTTGTCTGTGTCTTAATATTCAGCTGATTCTTAACTCAAGAGTGCAAAAAGTGGCGTTGTACAATGATCTCCTACCATCTTTTGCACCCTGATGCTCACGGCTCAACACCAGCTGCCTCCCTAGGCTGAGAAACACACAACCCCCATCCTCTCACCCCTCAAGGAAAGGGATCCTTCAGTATCTTACTCCCTCAAGAACCTGCTCACAGGTATATGGCCATGGGGTGATCAGAAAAATCAACCCTAGCACTGGACTGTCTTGCCAATATATCACTCCTAACACTTAAGATGTTAAGCCTCCTGGAAGGGGGTGTCTGAAGAGCCCTCTGATGGCTTTTGGATGCATAACAAAAAATGCAATTTGTTCTCCCTACTGAGAGATTGGTTTTGGTCCAGATCCTAAAAGACTGATAGAAGAGGCTACTCTTCTTGATTCCCACACCCCCATCTTCTCTCAAAAACAAGACTATAGTTTAGTACTGTTATTTAAAAGGAAAAAAAAAAATGGAAAAAAGAGTTATTTTGGGGTCCAGGCATATTCCTTTACATGACACCATACCTTTTATCCTGGTCTTCTTGATTGTCACTTGCTTTACTTACAGACAGCAGCCTCTTGTCTCGTGGAACCTGAAAATATCATCAACTGTCAGTCAGACTTACATACATGTAACAGCAACTGCCTGCAGAACTAGAGACCAGCACAAACAGAGAAACTCAAGTGGAAAATCCCATGGGAAAAGGTGATAAATTTGCTAGAGCCAGGAGATGGTTAAAGGTGTGTGGCCTGAATGACAATGACATTGGAGAAACAGAGGGGTGGTGATAACCATAGGGCTAATATGACAATCAACGAACACCGAAGATTCTGCCACATACTGCTGTCATGGGAGGCTCTGCTGAGCCCCCCCACACACACACACACCTGGAAGACCTCCTGTGTCCTCCCCCACCTTGGGAGTGGGTGAGGGAAAGGGAAGAATGTGAGCAGAGGGTGAATCTGGGCAACTGTGCACTTGAGCAGACAGAAGACATGGAGTTACAACAGCACCATAGTAAGTAATGGGGACTGACCCTCCACTGACGGTGGACTTCAGGAGCTGACGTCTGAGGGAGCAAACTGGCCGTGGGACTGTACTGTCAGTCAAGAGGGAGGCAAGCATCTAATATAACAGGACCACAATTTAACCACCCGCTCTACAAAGTGCATGGGCTCCCTTACAGAATTTTTCTTCAAATGCACTTTCATCCTTGTCTTAACCAGATCAGTTCCTGCTAAGCCGACTCTGACTCATGGTGACTCCATGTGGGTGTCATAGTAGAACTGTGCACCATAGGGGTTTCCAATGGCTGATTTTTCATAAATAGATGATCAGGCCTTTCTTCTTAGGGGCCTCTGGGTAGGCTCAAACCTCCAACCTTTCCATTAATAGCTGACCCTATTAATTGTTTGCACCATCCAGAGACCTTAACAACCATAATATCAACATGCTGCCTAAAATATTATTGAAAAAGTACTGCTTGGGAGAAGAGAAAGACACTCCCACTAGTTATGTTTCTGACCATCATCCAATTACCCTCCTGCATCATGGGTTATTTATTTTTCTCTGCTATAGTTCCAAAGACATGGATAGTAAGTTTGGATTTGGTTGGTTGATTGGTTGGATTATTTTTGTTTGTTTTTGCCCCTTTTGGATAAATTTCCAGATCTTCTTTCTGGCCAAAATCCTTTATACTCAAAATGCAGCCTTCACTCTTTTGAGATGAAAGAGCTTTTATGAGAGCAGCCCTCTTCTGGACTTGGCCAGCAATCCCTATGGTTTCCATTCATCCAGGTATGCATGCTAGCCCTGTCAGCTGGACTATGGAAGAGACATAGCACGGTGGGTAACTGTCTGGATTTGATTCTCAATTCTATCACTGACCAAATGTGTCTTAGTCTTTTCATCTGTAAAACAAGAATAATGATGTCCTATAACTCACAGGGCTTTTAGTAGAATTAAAGGAGCTAATTGTAAAATTTAAAAAAAAAAAAAAAAAAGCATGCTTCTACTTTATAAGTATTTTTTAAATAAAAATAAATCAATTATAAATCCTTCATTCGTATATTTTAATTTTGAGGGTCTAGTTGGTGCCATCTATTGATGAAGACAGATGAACAGTAAATTTCAATACCTGGGAATATGAGGTAAAACTGAGCCTCAAAACACATCTGAAAGCCTAGAGGATGGAGCGCTGTCAAGAAGCTAGGCTCTGAGTAGGAATTTGTCTGGTGGGTGAAGGTGTCTTTCCAGCCCAGGGCACAACATGTAAAAAGTCTTCAGGGTATAAAAGACTAAGGAAAGCAGGAGCAGCTTAAGGAAGAAGTGACAGGGTGAGATAGCCTCAAAGGTGAGCAAAGGCCTTGAACCAGGGCATGTGTCTCCCTTGTTTGTGAGGTTTTAACATGCTGTGTGCCATGGGACAACCACATTCTACTTGACTGTCAGTCAAGGTGCTTCATCCTCTCCCCTTACAACCAATCAGGGACAAAGTCCCACAGGTTTCTGAAATCCATCTACTTCCCTCCAGATGCCTACCTCCTGGTTCAGCCTCCAACATCTCTCGCCTCGGCTATTTCATCAGCCTCCTAATTGTCCTCTCCCCTCCTGTATTTAGTCTCTGCAAATCTACTCTTTTTATAGGAGAAGCCAGAACAATTTTTAAATGCAACTTTAATCCCATTATGTTCCTACTTGAAATTCTTCAAAGGCTTCTCATTACTCTTAGAATCTTTAACAATATGTGTTGGCATTGCTAGGGGGTGTGGGGGTGCAGACTGTACCGGATGACACTATCAGAGGGGGTGATACCAAATGAATTTGTGGGCAATGTTTCAGCAGAAATTTATTATTTTTTATAAAAATGTCCCAGTAATTAGTTATAAAAACGGAAACATTTTTCATAAGCCCAGTTTACATCCATCAATATATCTATAAGGCTAAACTCTATACCAATTTACTTCTTGAACCTTCTAAGAAGGTGCTCCAGTCAGAGCTGTCATTACTACCCAATTACAATGATGCTTCAAATCACATCGTTTCATCTGGTGTTTTTGTTGCTGTTAGTGTTTTTATAGTCACGGATTTTGTCAAAATTTTCTAGTGTATTAGGTAAACCTCTATCAATAACTTTTTGAGAATGAAGTAGTAATTAAAGGAAAAGGAGAAAAATCAAAATATGCTTCTGTTCAATTACTAATAATATTATAACTAATTATGTTGTAACTCAATGCAGAAAGATTTTACAAAACAATTTTATTGTTAGTATTCATATAATCTAAGAAATGTTATAGTTAAGCAATTTACAACTATATTTGTCACACACTATTCTAAGATTAAAACTGATAATAAACATTATGAAGTGTCTTAGTTAAGGAGCTCTGGTGGCATGGTGCCTAAAGCATTTGACTGTTAACCAGAAGCCTGGCAGTTTAAACCCACCAGCCACTCCACAGAAGGAAGATGGGGCAATCTACTTCTGTAAAGATTTATTGCCTCAGAAATGCAGTGGGGGTCACCGTGAGTTGGAACAGACCCTATGGCAGTGAGTTTTTGGTTTTAGGTGTCTCAGTTATTCAGTGTTGCTATACCAGAAATATCACAAATGCACAGCTTTAACAAACCGAAATTTATTCTCTCACAGTTTAGGAGGCTAGAAGTCCAAATTCAGGGCGCCAGCTCTAGGGGAAAGCTTTCTCTCTCTATTGGCATGTGTAGGCCCAGCCTCCCTTAGAGATCTCCATGTGCCTTGGCATCAATCTTCTCCTGGGTCTAGGATGTTCTCAGTGCAGGGACCCTGAGTCCAAAGAACACACTCCACTCCTGGCTCTTCTTTCTTAGTGGTGGACAGATCCCTTGATTTCTGTCTACTTGTTTAATCTCTTTTACAACCCAAGATACAATCTAATCCTGTGTATCCTGCCTTATTAACATAACTGCCTCTAATCCTGCCTTAGTAACATTATAGAGGTTTCAATTTACAACACATAGGATAATTATATCAGATTACAGAGTGGAGGACAATCACACAATACTGGGAATCAAGGCCTAGCAAACTGATAAAGTATTTTTGAGGGACACAATTTAATCCATAACACTAAGGATTCTTCCGTACGGTCTAGTACAGGAGGAGGTCTGGGGGGGGGTGCCACCATAAATTATCATAATAGGTGACACCAACCCAAGTGATACTACTGTTAACATCCTCTTTAAAATGTCAACTTGGGGTGTCTTCTTTGCTTACCAAGTTTCATTCAGTCACACTGTATCTAAGACCATGCAATGCAAAACCATCACACAAAAGTCCTCTCTGCCTGAAACACATTCTACTCACCCTATCCCCAATCTCACTACCCCTCCCATAGTTTCCCCAAGCTAGCTCCTACCCATAATTAAATGTTGGTGCCCATGATAAGACTACAATCTCTGAGTGTCTACTTTGTGCATGGTTATGTCTCAAGTGCCGGAAATGTAGTAAGCCTTCACTAAATACTTGTTGAAAGAAAGAATGAATCAATTTAAATAGCCTGGTAAATGCAGAACCAAAAAAGTAAGAGGAAGGAGGATTCCATAAAACATGTTAGCAACTCTCAAAAACGCGTGAAAGTCCAAACAGTCAACAATTACTTTAAAACAATGGTTAAGAATGTAAAGGAGCTGGGAAACTAGAATAATGGAACTGGAACAACCAGAAGAAAAATAATGAAGATGTTCACAAATAGTGAAACATGTAACCCATGTCATCAAAAAATTTGTGTAGAAATTGTTGAATGAGAACCTACACTGTTGGGTAAATCTTCACCAAAAACACAAAAAATATTATTTAAAAATAGAAAACAAACAAACTCATAGCAACCCCGCCTTGGGTTTCTGAGGTGGTATCTCTAGGGAAGTAGATTGCCCAACCTTCCTTCTGAGGAGTGGCTGGTGGGTTTGAACCACCAGCTTTCTGGTTAGCAGTCAAGTGCCTTAAGCACTATGCTATCAGAGTTCTCCCTAAACAAACACAGAGGCTAGGATTTACAATACATCACAAAATAGAAGACCATGGCCAGAAGCAATTCACTGCACTGCACTGACTTATGGAGAACTCTCCCAAATGCTGACCCAGAGAATCCCCACCATTTTCTTACTTCAGGGCTTCATCATTTTTTATCTGGACTACTGCAATAGGCTGCTCACTGGTCTCCCTGTCCCTAACCCACCTCTCTGCTACTTCTGAGTTGTGAACACATCATTTCTTTGATCTGTGAGATCTGTGTTTGAAATCTTCAGTATTGGAGAAAATGATATCATATATTATTGGTGGAAGTACAGAACATTTTACCCTCCACTTTAAGCTTTTCTGCATTTTCTAGAATGGATATGTACTGGCTTAAAATAAAAAGATGATTACAAAAAATTTCAATGGCTTATGAATATTCATTAAGTTGCATTCACTCATTCTTCCAGAAAAAAGCAACACCGTGTACCCACACTGGGCTCGCCTCTAGAGGATAAAGCCCGGCCCACCAGCCTGGCCTGGCAAGACTCTTGGAGAGAGTCTCTACCTTCCTAGCCAAGCTCTACTCCCTCCACCCCCTCACAGTT